GCGCCCCCCCCCGGCGTCTCCAGCCGCCTTCCTTCGCGGCGGAGGGATGAGCAGCGCCTGGGAACAGACACCGGGAGAACGCGGGGTCGGAACCGGCGGCCCCCGGCTTTGTGTCGACCAGCGAAGGCCGCCCAGCGCACGCTCCCCCAGCAGGCGGGCGGAACCCGGCCCAGGGCAACCGCCTGCCTGCCGGGCCCTGCTCGCCTCCACAGGGACCACGAACACTCTCGTATGCTAATCTATATCAACTCTTTACAGCTGTTCTTTCTTAATAACGTTTTTGCACACTTACCAGTTCAATAAACAGGAACCAGCAACCTCATCCGCAGATGACGATTCCAATACATCTGTAGAAGGTAGCTCAGCATTTTCTAACAGCCAGTTTGTAATCTATCTTTATATTAAACTGCAACATCCCATTTCAGTCCCCACAATTAGAATCTTGTTTCTGATTTAAGGTTCTAAAGACTTTTGTTTTTCATACACCTCTGCTAGGCTAATGGTGTATGAAATACATTCCCTTAATGTTAATTCAGTTAATTCTCCACTGAGTCTACAACTGTTTGTTCTAAACAAAACAGATTATTTTTTTGTATACGTTCCTGCCCTTTCTTGTTTGCCACTAGATACACTCTGTCAATATTCCATCGTGGTTCCAAATCCTGGGAACACAGTCGCTCCTCACTGCCAATGTCGGGCCACCTTGACCGCCTTTTTAGCCAAATCCTTAAGCAGGATCAGCAACAATCATACGTATCACCAAAGGTTTTCATTGCCTTCAAATCTCTTCTACCAAGGAGATCACCACTGACTAGCAGTGGGTAGCTTTTTATACCTTCACTGAGTCATTTTACTGTGGCTGACTAAGCAGAAGCAGTACCGATATTAACGTGAGACAGAAAAGCTTGAAAGTGATTGCAAATTTGGTTGCTGTATTGATATAATTGTTCTTGCCAAGATTCTCCGGGTAGGTGAGTTTAACGAGAAACATATTTTTAGTTGGATAGGCAAGTTGAAAAATAAGCAACAGTATTAAAAATGCTTTGTCTATAACGGGAAAGTAATTTGTGTCATTTGAGGCAATTGACTTGCCGTAGAAACGGAATTTCACTGGCTCAATAATATAAAAAGGCCATCAAACCTACACAACCATTATGTGTCCCTAAACACCACCAAAAATGAGTGCCATGGGGTAGGAGACGGTTCAACGCCACCATTAACAGTCCTAAAGAATTCCCAAATGATCATACTTGGGGAATGTTAAGATGGGCTCTTTGGGGCTTGGGCTGCAGATTCGGGCACCCGAGCCCATCATTTCTCTACCGAGAAGGCTGCATCTCTCCTGTCTCGCAGGAGCACATACTTCTCCCTCCCTCTTCCTCACCAGACCCTTCGCTGAGCCATATTACCTTACTAACGTAGTAGAAAACCATCCAACTCTTTGGCCAAGCAGCTTGTGGTCTGAGCAAGTTAAAGCGCTGAGGCCAAAACACGGCAAGCGCCAGGAGTGCACGGCCACGAAGCGGAAGGAAGGGAGAGGCAGAGGTGAGGTGTGAGGGATTTCCCCCTTTCGATGGTGGAGCTTCTTCATTTGGCTTACGTTCTCATGGGAACTGCAGTTTTAGCAGCTTGGAGAAATATCATTATGGCTCCTGTATGGAAAAAAACAAACGTTATCCTATAGCTGATAATACGTGCTGATAACCAGCTGATCATCTGGAACGGTTCTCCAGCAAGCTGAAAAATACAAAAAAAGGCCTGAATGCATCTCTGATCTAAGCACTCCTATAATATTGACTACATTGCTATGCAGCAAATTGCTATTCACGTTAAAATAACTCAGCTGCTTGTGGTAAATTGTTGAGCTGATCATCATCAAATAAATACTCAATTATTACTAGCTATAGTCTCTAACAGGCAACAAATTACACCTGTTAAAATAATTTAAGCTGACGATTCAGGTATTGGAAACAGCAGAATATCACCAGAACCTAAATTTCACGCCAAATAAAGTTACAACAACAAGAAAATTTCAAATCGGACCGAATTCTTAGGATACAAGGTGCACAACGCAACGCCTCGGCTTTGTTAAACACAAACCATCTATGGTTCTACATGAATGTCTGTGTATGTGCTGTAGGCAGCTGAGAAGTAAAAGAAGTATAAAAGTTGTTTAGCACATGGCTAAACAAGCACTGTGAGCAAAGCTTCACGTCATGGCGGGCATGAAAACTTCAGGTATTTAACAGGCTGCAGACCAAGGTAATTTCAAAACATCTTATGAAGGCTTGAAAACCTCCCCTGACCTTAGAGTCCATTTCATAGCAAAAACTAGCAACAGTCTTACATGAATAGAAAAAAAGAAAAAAAAAAAAAGTCCCGTCTCACTGAATTGAGGAATTCTGGAGCTCACAGCACGGGGCACCTCTTGCTTCTGATGAAGCCCCACAGCTGCTCATCCAGGATGGCCACAAACTATGAAATGGATGTCTCAAGGCGAGGCAGCAGCCAGCTGCACTCCGGCCAAAGACACAATCGTTTGAGCTTTTCTCTTCCCTCCCTGTGTTATTATACAGAATAAGGTAATTCCCTGGCGATTCGAGAACAGGAATTGGGCAAATAGCATCTATTAACAACCCTTAGAACTGGACAAGGTATCAGAGTTTATGCATTGAGACTGCCTATACAGAGGGTGGCAAAAGCCAGCTGACCTTTCAGGGAATTAAAGCATTGTTAGTGGAAAGGCAGAAGAATCCAACTTTGAAGACAAGTGGAAGTATAAAATAATATCGCCGTTATCCCTCTTCTTACTGTTCTGCCCAACTTGTCAAGCCAGCTCCACAGTCACTGCACCCTCCTTAATACAGGCAAGGCAAGAGCCCAAACAATGTCATTTTGTAAAATAGTAACGATTGAAACAACAATCCTGCAGGTTCAGGTATACAACTCCTATGGCCACAGAAGGACAGAGAAGCAGACAAATGGCACGTTATAAGGATATGCTTCATGGCAAAACCTTAATTCTGTGAACTTAGTGCCATGATAGGAAAGACTACCTCTAAAAAGCATCTGCTGTAGCAGGCATTAAGTGCCAACATTGCTACAGCCTATGGGCAAAATCAAACTGACACGATGAAGCACAAAAGTTGCCGCAAACAACTGAGTGTAGTGAATACATACATATACACACACCCCTATGGTTGTTACCACTGTGAAAAATCAGCCTAATTTCTCACCAACGAAAGGACAAAAACTGCATTCACTCTTTCAGTGCTAACTGAATCCACACCACCATAGGCTGTGGAGTAAGTACTTTAAGCTCCATAGCAACAGGGAGTTAAATTCAGAATAAACACAGAGCAATACATTTGCAGATCTATAGTTTGTTTGTTCAGTCATGCCAATCAGCGTGTCTGAACATCCAAATGCTCCTGACAAATTGCTCACAAGCAATCCCGTAGAAATTAATTAAATTCTAGGCATAGATCAACTACCCTGAATCACTAACTACCCTGATTTGACAACTCTCTTAAGTATTTGAACTTGCCAAGTCTTCTTTACAAAATAGTTGCATTTTAGAAATTCAACTGTAATCTGATGAACCTGGCCTCCGAAAACATGAAAGCCATCAGAAGGAAATCTCTCAGTTCACCGTGGTGAATGCTAGCCAGATTTAATAAAAAGAATCAGATAAGATTGCTTTCAGATGTAATGTCTAGTTCCACACTTGCATTCAGGACAACAGAAAAAGCACAAAAATAATCCTACTGAAAAAAAAAAATCCTCTTACTAAATTTAGGCACAAACTAAAGCTTAGACAACATGCCTTAAGTTTGTTGTCTAAGCATACATTTATGAAGAAAAGAATGCATATCTTAATTTTACTTGCAACCTGGAAAAAAAAAAAAATAGAAAATTGGAATCAAATGTAATCAAATTTCAGAAGTCTTCCCGAGTCTTCAGATTTTCCAGTGTGGGGAAAAACGGTGCAGCAAGCACGGCAGCGAGGAAGAAAGCCACGTGGCTCCATGCTCGGTGCCAGAGCTGAACGAGCACTGCCTATACTCATCTAGCGGCTATTTTTGTGCCTGCCTTGGTAGTGCTGCTTGACTAGAGGCTGTGAAATCTGCGAGGCCTTGGATTGCTTCAGGCTTCCTCTCCTGCACAGTGCATTCCCATCTCTGCAATACGCTGTACCCACCGCTGGTCCCAGTCCAGGTTCTGCTGATTGCAGATGTGGAGCCATCTGCTTTCAAGCAGCGCAGCCTTGAGAAGGTGAGAATTTCCCTCTCGGTTAGGGGAATGTGCAAGAACTCTATGAATAAACACGTTTATATTCAAATCCCATCTTCTGAATCAACAGCAGGATCTCCTCCACTCAGCTTTACGTTAGCCCTGCTGCTTTGGAACAGCCTTTGCTTGTTCAGCCAGTTTACGCTTCTGCACAAAGTCTCTCTCTCTTTCAAAGCTTCAGTTATTAACAGATGCAGTTGTTCATTTTGGGGCTGAAATTTTCAAAAGACACTTAGAGGCTACACCTTTGTCATATTTTATTACCCTCAAATCTAAATAATTTCCGTGACCATTAACTAGTATTTCTTAGGTAACACCTAACTGAAGATATGTTATGGTAGTTTAGTGCCATGAAGGCAACATATGAAAATGTGTCCATTCACCCTCCAAGTTCTTACAGTATACAACAGTAAAGGAAATGGTAATTTGTGACATATTATCCCATTTCAGATTTAATGAATTTCCTTATTTACTGAATCATCTTCAACTGAACACTAGTGCAGAGTAAATCGGTCAGATTCTACTGCACAATATGTGAAAGGTAATATTAAAAAATTTCTTGCTAAAAATAAATTTACTATGCTAGCAGTAAAAGATCAAAAGCATCTATGTAATTAAAAATTATTAAATTGAGAGTACATTTGAAACAAACCCTGCATTGTGCTTTTAATTAAAAATATTACCCTGTAAATTAAAACTGAAGGCTTAAAAATAGTAATCAAGGTCAAAAGAGTTATTGGAGAAAAGTATCTTTGTACAACTTTGAAAGTTCTGAGTAAATTTAGGATTAAACACAGGAAATTCTACTGGAAAGAAATGAAAAAGGGCAAAAGGGATCTAGACCAAAAAGTTGCTAAGTAGGTGCATTATTTTTATAAGAGAATAAAAAGGCTCCCATTTCAAATTATGAGGTCTCACCAGCATACTGCCAGAGAGCAGGCCCATAGCTGTCCGTAAGAAATTACTCTTAATTGGGGGAAAGGCAGGGAATACCTTAGCAACAACTTCGGCAACTCTTATTTGTGACTCTGTCCCCCTCCAGAAAGCTGCTTCCTCACCACAGCAGATGATAAGGAAGGAAAATGAACAAACAAACAAACATTCCCCTTGCCATAAGTTTTCCTTTATTTAAAGTCAACAGCAAATTCTTTTTGTCTGCTAAAGCCAGTGTTGAAGCTCAGTACAACAGCTGGTTAGAGGGGGTCAGAAGCAAGGTAGGTGACATTGCTTGCCACTATAAGAACAGTTTCAGCTAGCTTTAGACTTGAGGACATCAGAGGATTTATCTCCTGCGGACACCCCAGAGGGGCGTAACTTGTGAAGTTTCAGTTGTTTGAGTATCAAGCCTGAAATTAGGAAGCTTTGCCTAGCAAGGAGATGGCTACCCGAGTGACACCTCTGAAAGCCACTTGTACAGAGGTCACCGAAAAACCGCACGCATTACTTACACAGCACAGCTTTAAGGCAAGTTGTCCCCTCATGTTTGATACCGCTTTTGGAGTGGGGTTCTCAGCGGATGGCTTTCCTATTGCAGCTGGGAACATCTGAACATTAAGACCTGCTACCGTGGATCAGCTTCTCCAGCAAAGACACAAGAAAGGAGGCATTAAGTACCTGCTGGCTGGATTTCTCTGCATTCTCCTTATGTGATCGTCCGTAGGTGTTGGGCACATGGTGGTGTTGAGACAGGCAAGTCTTGCAGCACTGCTTCTTGACAGGTTGATTTGGTAGCCCCGTGCCTGTATTCTTTCACCTCTACCAGCACATAAAACCTGTCTGTTGGAAGACACTGGGCTGACTGCATTAAAAGTTAACCGTTAGCATAACTGTAACTTCAAAAACATATTGATGTATAAATTAAATACTGTAACTTATCTCCAAGTGGATCGCATCTGACTTTTAATAGCATTTCAGTGAAGACTCATTTGTAGGACAGAAGAAGAAATAAATCCATACTCAAGAACACTGTTTGAAATTGATAGTTGGATTTCCTTCCCTACCGATTATGAAATGGCATCTGACATTTATTGTCCTTTTTGAGAAGTATTCTTGTTAGAAGTATTCTCATTACTTGTGATTTGTTGGCCAACAGAGGGAGTGTGGAACAGACTGGGACTCTTACAAAACTATGGCTAAAAAAAAAAAAACAACCCAGAACTCTCAACATGGAAATAGTATCAAAACCAAAATCATCATCTGTATGGTTTTCCAAGCCATACTAAAAACATTTCAACTCAAATACAATATGTAATAATGTCGTTATTAGAGAATGCTTTATAAGAGGGCAACCACTTCTCT